TCAATAGGGTGGACTATATATATATGTCAACTTTCCCCTTAGTCTTGGACCAGTTCAATGCTTCTATTGCACCAAATCATCTTCCAGCGCCTTTATTGTTCCAGCAAAGTCATACCACATTTTCTGAACTCCTTGATACCTCATTTCTTTAACAACCCCCAGTATTTCAAAATAACTTCATCTGTCACCATCACACTTCCAGTTTGACACTTCACCTCCTGCATATTTGTCAACAACGAAATACCACCCATGATGAAAGTCAACGTAAAACTCATCCATAACCATTATGTTCCTGTATACAGCAACCTAAAATAAGAATTGTACCCTACAATAGAAACTAACATTATTTATAACCAACATTAACCTAATCATCAACCTAATGTTGATATGGCGCAAGTGTGTGTAACTGTGCGTAACATAACTATTCAAATAACGATGAGCACACAAAAAACAACCACCATTGTGTAAATATGAGTACTTAAATGTATCCTGAACGCAAAAGATTATTCACCTTCAATGTACCCTAAACGTAAGAGGAAGAAGAAGCTTCACCAGTCGTAACAGTCACCAAGGAGGAAAGAAAATTAGGGTTCTATAACACTTAAGTTGTAACAGTCATGCTTAAACACTTGAGAAAAAACAAAAATGCCACTTCAACAACCCTCCATGACACTTCAACAACATTACCTGCCACTTCATCACCGTCTGTGCCACATAGATTTTTTTGAAACGGAAAATTCTAAAAAGGTTAACGATGCAAACGTTAGTTAGCCTAAAGGACCAAATTATTACCAAAAAAAAACTTAAAGAACTAACTTGTTATTTTAAAATAACTTTAAAAATTAACTTATTATTTTAATATTATTTTAAAATAACTTAAAAGATCTAAACAGTATTTTTGTCTAAATAAAATTATTAATACTAATGATGTAGAATAAAGTTTCATATCTATCCAAATCACACATCTCACAAATTGGTACCATATAAAATTGAGGGGTCATAGAGGTGTTCATAAAAACTAAATAGTATAAGTTATAACAAGACGAAATTGGCTATGAAATATATATATACTAGCGTTCAGACGGGCACTCCCGTACCCGTCTGTCCGCTTTTTTTAATGCGCACAGCTTAAGAAAATAAACGTGTGTATATTATGTGCGAAGTTACTTGCATATTATACTTGCATATTTTCTTAATGCGCACAACATAGAAAAATAAGCGGACAGACGGGCACAAGAGAGATATCATCACAAATATGAGGATTAAGAACTGAGATCTTTATCTTGAGAATTAAGAACTATCCGAGTCTAGGCGAGTTTATATATATTCCATCATAAAATTAATTGATTGGACATCTCACCATATGTAAGTTGTCACCAAAAGGTTAATTGAAAGACTATTGTATTGTCTATGCATCTTGTTCGATCGTTCATATTACTCACCATGGGCTACAAAGCTCGTTACACACTCACGTTAAAAAAAAAGCACAGGTACAATAAAAAAAGGCGGTGAAATCAAGCCAAGATAAAGGGCTTATAAAAGCCTACACGGTCCAGTCAAAACATGATAATCAACTTATAAACAAAAAAAACCTACAATTTACACTTCCAAAACACGATTCAGTCACATGTTGAGCATTGTGACTTTAACCGCCTTCTAAGAGTGTCTCTGTATAAGTGAGCTCACTCAGGCCAGATCAAAGAAATGCTTTCACATGTGACTTATGAAATGCTTTTCAGAATTGATTCGGGCACAAAAAACTTCCAATTACGGATATCAACAAAGAAATACATTCAAATAAGTCACATGTTTTGAATGAATCTCCTTGTGTTGTGCTTACTCAATGGGAACCATCTTAACCCGCAGATTTCAATTTTTGGTCTGGCCTGGGTGGATTAGAAATACATATTTAAAATTAATATTTGAATGTATTACTTTCATTCATCGTGTGTGGAGCATTGTTGTCTTTGGTCTCTCATGTTTTATTGCATCTTTTTATTGGTTAACTATGTTAATTTATGTGGGTTAATACAAAAGGTAATACCTGAGGAGGAATATCTCTCAGGTATTACCTTGTGGCACATAGTCTTGATAGCGTTCAAACCGGCACGACACACGCGTCAAAATATGATCGGATATTTTTTATTTAATTTTGATTTTAATTTAAATTATTTGTATAGTAAACTTTATAATATGAATTCCTCTCTCCCCCTTCCCTCTCTCTCTTATAAATTTGATGAAAGTATTTAGAGAGGAGTTTGTAGAGTAAACTGAACAACACGTACATCCCCTGCAAACATGTATGCTCCACACACGACTCTTCTCGTGCTTGTCTTTTTTTTAATGAGCATACACGTCAAAATATAAATGAATATTTTTTTTATTTAAGTATGATTTAAATTTAAATTTTTTGAATACCAAATTTTCTGATATTCATCCTTATGTTTGTAAGAAATTTTAAAATGTCATTTATTTAATTAATTAAAAGTTAAATTATTTTTCAAATTAAATTTGTAAGTAATATGATATTTATTGCGCATCTCTCTTTAACATCAAAAATAAAAATCATAAATAAAAAATTAACAATAAAATCCAACTAATTTAAGAAAGTGAATGGTCAGTGTTTCAAATTTTCAATAATTCACAATAAATTTTTTTGTTAATATTTTTATTTTATTTTTTCATAGTTAAAGTTTTGTTCAATAGCAAGGTCACACATATAGACATAAAAGATAAAATAATGGAAGTTATATATTTTTGCAACTGTCATTGTATATTTGAACAGTATATTAAGTATTAATAAATGTGACAATATTTTTAAAACTGTTTTTATCAAGATACATAACTTTTTGAGGAAATGGTTTTTATTTCTATAGTACATATGAAAGTTAACAATGTAAGAAATATTAAAATTGTGTGTACCAATTAAGTTTGTGAAAGATTTTCAAAAAGATTTCATTTTATACTGTTATATTACAATCTTCCGTTAAAGTCATCCATAATATTTCAAAAAGAAAAGAGAAGAGAAATGAGATGATGGATCTAAAAAATGAAATGTAGATCTAAAAATGAGATGATAATAATTTATTGAATTTTTTATTCATTTATATTTTTATGTGTGTGCTCATTAAAAAATTCAACAAAAAAAATGTTAATATGAGAAATTGATATGTAACACTCTTATATCCTCTTCTCATCTCTCCTTTTATTCTATATGTCAAATAATGTTAACCAAATTAATGATTTTTTAATATGAAAAAAATACAAACCATCTCCAAATTATAATTAAATTACCACACAAATAGATAGTTACAATAGCAAATAGCAAATCAAAAGTAAGATAGAAATAAAAATTTAAAACAAAAGAACTAACACCATTAAAAACCACGTCATTTCAAAAAATAATACTGATGAAATAATTGTTTGTATTATGAAAATCTAAATTACATATTTTATGATGTGTTTATACTCACAAAATACAAATAAGTATCATTAAGAAATAAAACATAATAACAACAAAAGAAAAAAGTTAAAACTATAATATTAATGAATAATGTTTTGCAACAACAATAAGATATAATTTTTGTAAGAAAATAATAGTGCATTATAAAATCACTCATACCCATCGTGGTTGCATTAAATACTTGAATTTTATTGTATTTTAGAGTATGAAAATTTTTTAAGTATCACATGATCTTTTTTTACTCCATAGTTAATAACTCTGCATTGAAAAAAAGAAAGTTTCGTAAATGGTAAAATTTTAAAAAAGACTTGATTACAAAAGTCATAAAAAAACTATTACTATAAAAGCAATTACAAAAAAAAATCTACATACAACAATCAATTTTCAGTCATATTGAGAACGACTTCTTCTATTGGGGATGATGGCGCGATCTTGACTGGAAATAAGTTTCATCTATTTTTCAAAAATAAAAAGATCACTAATTAAAATTCAATAAATGAAAATATTATAGAATGAAAAAAATTTTAAAAAAAAAGTATATTCATTGAGAAAGAGATGAAATTTACATAAAAAAATAGAAGAGGACTTTTAACTTCTGTCACCACTTAGTAGTTAATGAAAGTTATAGGTGTGAGATATTTTTTGTGAGAGATGGAAGTTACTTTTTCAATTGGTAACCAACAAAAGTTATTAACCACTTATAATTTTAAATTAAACTATTTTCTTGTTGATAAAAAAGATGAAGGATAATTTTGGAATAAAAATAAGCCACACCAAAAACTTGTATCCCCTTTATATATATATATATATATATATATATATATATATATATATATATATATATATATATATATATATATATATATATATATATATATATATATATATATATATATATATATATATATATATATATATATATATATATATATATATATATATATATATATATATATATATATATATATATATATATATATTCTAAAATTCAACTGTAACAAATGGTTTATATAGATGCGGATTGGTTATAATTTATACGAAGAACCTATTATACAAGTCCTAAACCGACTCGTAAGCCACATTATTTTCAGTAAAAGTCACCATAATATCTGTGACACTTGTATTTGTGTGTCTGTCAAGTATGCAGGGGAAAATGATATATACACAAACTTCATACTCACAAATTATTGACCTACTAAATGACCTACTTGAGCGATTCGGAATAAATTTTAATCGAACAGATATGATCTCATAATTATTTAAGAACTGTTCCTAATTTGCTACCTTATAAAGGTGGCGTGGATAATAGGAATGGTACCAGAGTTGGAGAAAAGCCTATCATGAATGACAACGTCAAAATATTGAAGCATAATGATTAGGCCAGCCATAAATCCAAGTCAAATAAAAACACTACAAGCATAAACTTGAGTACAACCAGTTACATGTTTTACAAGACTTTATATGCCTCCTCATTTCAAGATAGGTCATTATTTGGTATGACCCAACCCTTATTCACGTGTCAGTTTTTAGATGCCTTTCACAGTTTTGCAGGAGGCTGGTACCAGCCCCATGGTTCCTCAGAGATATACTGAGTCACTTGCTTCACGCTCAAGTAATTGTCAAGTCCCCTGAAAAAAAGCCAATAAAAAAAATCAGACTCGAGCTCAAATAAAATAGGTTTAGCAAACTTGTTTATATCCCACAACAGATCTGACAATAATAGAGGTTGAGGTATGTAGTCTCTATAGCAATTGTGTAACTATTAATTGTGTCCTCAATCCTATCTGACAGTTTTAGACCAAGGAAACATGCAATTTGGGTTGAGCTCACCAAACCAGGATGCCACCGGGGGAGGGGGGGACCTAGCATTGCATTTTATTTCATTATACACAAAGAGTCTATTTATTAATATTATTAATTTACACGTGCCGATGCAAATTAATCCTACTATAATTACTTCAACTATACAGTGCAAGGGCAGTAACAGTGCCATGATCTGTTAATAGCCTTATTGACTTTTAGATTGAATTATTTGTACAAGTTTTGGTGATCAATAAACAGTCAACAGGGGATGGTACTAGTGCATTCAACAATCCATTGACTTCACCTTATAACTGGGTTTTTTGGATATTGATAAGTTGTCATGACTTCTTCATATTTAAGAAAATTTTCACGTTTGCTAAACTAGAAAATAGTCATACCATTCTCCTAGTTCACGGCCAAAACCACTACGTTTGACACCTCCCCATGGAGCTTGAGTGAAGCATGGTTGAGAGCAATTGACCCATACAATTCCGGCCTTAAAAGCCTGCATCAGAGCAAGATAAAATGATTAATGGTGACGGAAATCTAATTATTTAGTTGTTTTCTCTGATAACCTATGATCAGGCCCACCTTAGTAACGCGCTCACATCTTTCTAGATCATTTGATATTACAGCAGCACCTAAGCCATAGCTGTAGAAGACCAGAGTATATAACTTAGATACCAATCCACAAAAGAAGAAAAAACTGTATACAGATTTAGTTAATGGCCTTTAACAGAAAATCAACTCACACAGTGTCATTTGCTAGATCAATAGCTTCTTCCTCAGTACTAAATGTTTTTACACAGAGGACAGGTCCAAATACTTCTTCTCTCCAAATTTGCATGGAAGTAGTCACATCGGTTATGATGGTTGGTTCAATAAAGAATCCTTTCTTTAGATGCTGCCATTGCATTTGAAGAACACAATCAATTATCATGGCAATTGCAGATATACCTAACTGAACACACTTGTACAGAAAGCATAATCATACCTCTGGTCGAGACCCACCAGTCAAAATGGTTGCACCCTCGCTTTTAGCATTTGAGACAAACTTCAATATTTTTTCATACTGAACCATATAATGTGACTATTAGATATAGCATAATCATGTAGTACAAGAGAAATAACTTAGTATTACTAAAATATTTTCATTGGATATGAAGAATCAATATGAACATAACAAATATACCTGTCTTTTACTTTACAGAGTTCAGAAGATATGTTAAGTAAATATATGTGAGGGATCAATTTGAACATGCAAAAGCTTACCCAACTTTTACTTTAAACATTCACTGATACATTTCCAGTGAATAATAAAAAGCAATTTGGACATGCAAAAGCATATCCATCCTTTACTTTACAGAGTTCAGAAGTCATGTCAAGTAAATTTATAGCGTGTGCATTGTACAGAAATAAGAAATGAAAATATACCTGTCCTTCACTAACAACAGGTCCTAGCCTGCAACCTTCTTCCAAGGGATCTGAAATTTTGATGTTTTTGATCCATTTCACAATCCTATTCAAAAATTCTGTTGCTATACTTTCCTGAAATAATAGAAGTATCTTAGCTTATCAGTTTTTGCAAATGAATGATGACAAAATCCCTACAACCAATTCGTACGACAAATTTCTAGCACAATTGAAGTTAGCATGATCAGTCCCATATATGCAGACAAAAGAAAAACGTAATAAAAGTTACAATTACTTCTGTAGTGGGATCTATCTATTATACTTACATGTACAATAAGACGGGAAGTTGCACTGCATATCTGACCATTTGTCCAGAAGCAGCCAAAGATGGCCCATTCAGCAGCTTTTAATCACGGAAATGGGGATCAGTACATCAAGCGATAGATAATAGATAAAATTTTCTCACCCTCAATCAATTGTTTAAGAAATGTGACACCACAATGCAAGAAATATAATTTAATAGTTATACTGGAGAATGCACTGACCCTTATCAAGGTCAACATCCTCAAAAACAACTAATGGGCTTTTTCCACCAAGCTCCAGTGAAACAGGCTGCCAGGAAACCACAAATTTGGTATTACAACAGAAACTCGTGAAAATAGAAAATAAAAATGAGTAAGCAAAAAAAAACTCCAAACTCTAACTGAATGTGTAGTTCATTTCATTAAAACAAAAGGAAATATGAATTTTACATAATTTGCTGAAAGTACTAAAAAATACCTTGACTAGCTGAGCTGCAGCTGTCATAATTTTGCTTCCAGTTGCAGAGCTTCCAGTAAAAGCAACCTGTTGGAATTGTCAGAATGTTGGTCATGGGATCATAATAGCTTTAGAACATTATAGAAAAATAAATGTGAGACATAAAATAAGATATGACCATGCATAAATCCAAATCTATTAAAATCTAAAGACAGTTGAACCTTGTCAACATCAGGATGCGTTGCCAAAGGAGCACCAGCTTCAGGACCTAATCCAGTGAGAATATTCAACACACCTGGAGGAAGGCCTACTTCTTTGCATATTTCGCCCAACTCCAAGCAGGTTCTGAAATTGTAAGTAAAACACATTAGAAAAAACAAAACGAAGAACTAAGCTTGTAAGAGTCAATGAGAACATACAAAGATGCCAATTCAGATGGCTTCAATATCGCAGCACAGCCCGCAGCAAGAGCAGGAGCAACCTTCCACGTAGCCATCAACATAGGATAATTCCTAAAACAACATTTGATTAAGAATTAACAATACTCATATAACAATCAACAACACTATTACAATAAGCAAATGAAAGATGTACACATAGTGTCACAGAGTACCTAATATCAATGAAAAAGTTTGCATTGCCATATCAAATTTGGCATTTTTTTAATACGCGATTGTAATCACAAAATAAGTATGCCAATCCTTCCAACCAAATCTTAGACCGTTGAGTTCTTGATCAAACAGTCAAGATTTGACTAGAAGTTGAATCAGCTTTTTAACACAACACTGTAAGCACAAAATCAGACTAGTCCGGCCCTTCCATCCAAACCTCAGACCGATGAATTCTAGTTGCAACTTGATCAAAAGGCCGAGATCTGGCTGGATCGGCCGGATAGACGTTTAAACGGTAACTAAATTGCTAGAAATTTAACTATACATATGCATTTGGCAAATGAAGAAAAAGAAGTAAGTAGAATAATACAATACCATGGAGTTATCAATCCAACAATACCAATAGGTTCCCTAAGCACATGACTCTTGAATGTATCCATCGGAAGAGACACCGGAGACTTTTGTCTATCATCCAATTTTTCAGCAAGATCAGCATAATACTCAAAGCAACCAGCAACATCATCCTACACACACAAATAACAAACAATCTTCATTTCGCAAATTCGAAAATGTTAACAGTTAACAGTATAGTTAGCTAGTTAGCACTTACGATGTCCCACGCGGCTTCATCGAGTGGTTTTCCACAATCGATAGATTCAAGCTTCGCTAGTTCAGGCTTTTTCTCAGTAACCTTAGCGGCGATAGCGCGTAGATAGCGTGCACGAACAGCGCCAGAAGCGGTAGCCCAATCAGCGCCTTTGTTACGTGTGAGAGCAGTTTTAGCGGCGGCGACGGCGGCGTCGACGTCTTCCTTAGTAGCGGCAGGGATATCACCTGAAGTAAAGAAGAATTGAGATTATTGAAGTAATTTAACGGTGTTAATAAAAGAAGAAGGAATTAGTAGTTGGAAAGGACCAATGATGTTTTGGGTGGCGGGATTGATGACGGGAATCCGTTTGTTAAGGAGGGGGGCTTTCCAGTCGCCGTTAATGAATAACTGACGAGTCGGGATCGGAATAGCCATTCTAGTACTTTCTCTCTCTAATCTATTATTGATTTGATGGATGTGTAGATAGATCAGATCACACGGTGAAAGTTGCTGAAATTGTTCACAAGACTGACTAAAATAATGTAGGCTTCTCTGCGGTGTTTTTCGCTTTCTTTTTTTCTTTGCTGTTTGGATCTTTATTTATGCTGCTGTTTTTGGATTAGTTAAAATGAATTTTTTTTACAATTTCTGGTAAGTGGTAATTACACTGAACTGAAGTATTAATTTTTTTTTTCATTTGGTAAAGCAATAATTGAAATGAATGGTTTGTCGCAAGTTCCGTACACAATCGGATAAGATCTATGGTTGTTTGGTTATTTTTTAAATGAAAATGACGATATCTAAGCATTACAAGTTCTCTAGTATAGGTGAAATGTCACACAACGCTCCAAATGAACTTTGGAGCAGATTTAAGTGCAAATCCCTCTCTTAACTTGTTGGGGGCAGTCATATCCACCCTTCATTTGAGAATGAAACATTTGGTATCTGATAGGAGAGTTGGAGTAGTTCTGGATGAATATAAACTTGTTTTCTTAGACACCCTCCGACATGCAAAAGATAGATACAAGAATGGTATGGCATTTCCTTGTCATTAATCCCTTAGTGAAGCCTATGTCTTAGAGAAAACTCAATGTGGGCAATGAAAAGAGATTATCATTGATGAAAAAGTTCAAAATCTGAGAAGTATTTGGCTTTATAACTAAGGTTATGTACTCATATTGGTTGGCCAATGTATCTTCGCAAACTTAAATGTCTTCTTGGCGTCGCCATCTATTCGACACGACCAATAACAAGTTTATCCATCTACTTATATTTGCCTTTTATTGATCAAGCAATGGGTTTTGTGCTCGTCTAAGAGACAGACAAAGTGGAATGACCTGTCTACCTCATAGAGACCTACAAGCTTGAAGATTTGAACGAACGACTCATCCCAAGGACATGGAACCCAGATAACCTAAGATATTATTACAGTTAGCTATTTTTCTTTTATTGTTTATGAGCGAAAGGCGATTAGCCAACAATTGTATGAACTCTTTTAAAGACTAATTGTTACCATATTTACATCAGGTTATTCTATTTCTCAAGTAGTATAAATGTTAGACTTCTAATAGAAGATTTGTGTCGCCCTTAAAGGGTAACATAAATGTTATACTTCCATTGGAATATCCTTGTCATTCTCAAAGGGTAATGTAAATTATGGACTTCCATTGGAAGATCCTTGTCGCCCTTAAAGGATAATATAAATGTTGGATTTTTATTGGAAGATTATTGACATCCTTAAAGGGAAATACGAATACCAAACTTTCATGTGAATGGTTTTTGTGGCACTAGGAATATGGACTTAACTTGATATCTCGCCTGAGGGACCCAACTTAAAGTATCTCCAGAGAGACTCAACTTAAGGCCTCGTCTGAGAGACTTAAGTTAAAGTCTCGCTTGATGGACTCAACTTAAAGTTTCTCTTGAGGGACTCAACTTAAAGTCTTGCCCGAGGGAATCAACTTAAAGTATCTTCTAAGGGATTCAACTTAAAGTCTCCCTCGAGGGAATCAACTTAAAATCTCTATATTGAGGAACTCAATTTAATGTTTTGCCCGAGGGACTCAACTTAAAGGCTCGTCTGAAGGACTCAACTTAAAGTCTCTCATGAGGAACTCTAATTTGAACTTTGTATAGGGTCGGTTGATTAAATCATTTCGCCATTTACAATGCTCGTGCTTGAGGGACTATCTATTTTTATATTTAAAAGGCCCATAAGGTGCAACATAGAAAGTTAACTAAGGGGAAGCGACATAACATATCATCCTCGTCGGCTTCCTAGGCACCCATTTGTTGAAACGAGTGCCCATCATTTGATTATGGCACCCATTCTCCACATCACTCGCCTTCCTACAAAAACGTGGATGTGGTGTGTCCCTATCCATAATAGTATGAAAGAGGGAGTAAAAAATGTATAAGCATGTTGTCTCAAGAAACAAAGAAAGTAACAACCTTTTATCCACACTCTTGAAATTGGAACTACTTCCTTGGAGCATGAGATCCAAGCCCAAGGGATTCATGTGTGTGTGTGTGTGTGTGTGTGTGTGTGTGTGTGTGTATGTGTACGTGTGCGTGTGTGTGTGTGTGTGCGCGCGCGCATGCCGAAAAACATCATTATACGGAGCTTTTCACCAAATCGTGTGAGTTTCCTCTAACACCATAATCATCACAATAAACCTCTGGCAACCTTAACCATAAGGGGTTATCACATATTGTAATTTTAGAGAGTAATTTTTTTGAGGGCATTGCCCATTTTGCTCGCCATTTTTTGCGAGTCGACCCTAAATTATGAACCCGCATATTTAAGAAGGTCCACCCCACTTGCATCGCAAACAAAATGGGACGGGTACTAGCAGTCCGCAGGTTATTTTTCTAAACTATTTATGTGAAAATTACTATTGTCAATTGCCAAAACTACTAGTATGAAACAATGTTAGTTGCCAAAACATTATGTAAAATGATTTTGTAAAATGTTGTAATATTTTGTGAAATGTTGTCAGTTTTCGAAAATACTATTGTAAATTATCAAAACTATTGATGTAAAATGTTGCCAATTAATAAACTATTTTGTAAAATAATGTTATAACATGTTGTGTGTTAAAGTTGTTGTACCATGTTAACATGCTATTATGACATGGTATATTTTAAAGTTGTTGTTGTACCATGTTTTAACATGCTATTATGACATGATGTATTTTAAAGTTGTTGCTGTATCAAATTTTATCATGTTGATTATGCTTTAAAAAATATATAAAATGTTAACATGTTTATTTTAACATGCTTTAAAATGATGTCAAATAATATAAATGATTATTTTAACATTAAGTAAAATGTTGTTCTAACATATTGTAAAATACTTTTTTTTTAAAGAGAGCAGCGAGCTTATCTTCCATTAAACAAGGCAGGTCTAATAAATAAACCCGTATCTCCAACTTTGACCTCACTTTTTTTTTGCAGAGTTTTACAGGACAAACCTAAACAGATCAAACATGTTTGTCTGCCACTTAACTTTAATTATTTATATTTTACTTAATATGGAATAGTATTTATTACTAATTTTTATTTATTAAATTTATGTTTTTTTAATTAATTAATGACAAACAATATTGTAAATTACATATTTTGTAATATAAAATTAAGGCTTAATACCCTTTTTAGTCCCTTATCTATATATCTCTAGGTTCATTTTGGTTATCTTTCTTTTAAAATGTTCAATTTGATCTCTTACGTATTGAAACAGAATCAAACAAGTCCTTTCTGTCAAATATTGATAACGTGTTAGAAGAAGAGGATGTAGCATCTGAGGCGGATTGTCCTATTCATCACCTTCTTCTTCTTTGAAAATCCCTAAATTGAAACCTAATTCGTCTACATTAGTGCGTAAATCATAAGTTATGGTTGCGGTTCATCACCACCATCATCAAAAAACAGAATTGAGTCACATGTATTTAGCATATTTAATCTTCCATGGAAGCCTTTTTGTTGTTGTGGAGACAATGTTGTACTTCGAAGGGAAAAAACTGTCAACATTTATGAAAAACTTTTTTGGGGTTGTCAATATTTTAAGGTAAGCTTTAGTCTGAATAATTTAGGTTGAAATTTTGTTGAAATGTCTATTTATTACATTGTAACTTTCTGCACTTAATCTTTATAGGGATATAATAATGTTGGTTGTGGATTATTTAAGTGGTTCTACGAAGAAGTTAGAGATGAAAAGGAATAAATTATGATGAAGCAACACAGTAAGCTAGATGTGCTAACTCAAGAGATGGAGGAAGCCAAAAAGAGGTTGAAGTATTGGGGCTTGGTAATATGAAATTAGAAGATGCTTTCAAGAACACCATCAAGTGAAATTTTTTTGGAAGTTTATGTTCTATGTTGTGTTGCTTGTTTTAATATTCAAGTTGTTGTAAAAGTTGAAATTCTATGTTGAATGTTGTGTCCTATGTTTTAGTATTCAAGTTGTTGTAAAAGTTGGAAGTTTATGTTGAATGTTGTGTTCTATGTTTTAGTATTCAAGTTGTTGTAAAAGTTTGAAGTTTATGTTCTATGTTGTGTTCAAACTTGAATGTTTTATGAATGTTATATGAATGTTTTATGAATGTTTTATGCACTGTTCAAACTTGCATGATTTTGGCAATATTTAGTTACATGAATGTTTTATGCAGTCATCAATCTTGCATATACTTATATAAATTGAATGATAAATGAAGTAGAACTGAATTATAATTGAATGATAAACTTCCACTTGATTAAACCTTATTCAAAATAACATTGTGTAAACCTTGCATAAACCTGTTCAAAATAGACATGACATAATTTGTTACAGACATGACATAAACCATGTTCTCAAAATAGAAGTTACATAAGATTGTTACAATACACACATGACTAAATGCTTTTCTTTGGATTGTTTTTTTTTTTGTTGGAGTAATCCTCCTAGTGGTAGGTCCAACTGTATTTTGTGATGCACTTAGCCTGGTAGTTTGACCCTTTATAACATATGACTAAACTGGTTTCCTAATAGGTAACTTCTTTGGCCTCCATTATTGCTGAGATGACTGTGTAACAGATGACTAAGTTGTTGGCTGGGATGAGTTTGCAGCTCTTGCTTGAGTTTTTTGAGTTGGTGGTTGAGATGAGTTTGTAGCCCTTGTTTGAGTTGCTTGAGTTGGTGGCCGAGATGATTTTGAAGCCCTTGCTTGAGTTGCTCGAGTTGGTGGCTGAGATGAATTTCAAGCCCTTACTTGAGTTGCTTGAGTTGATGGCTGAGATGAGTTTGAAGCCCTTGCTTGAGTTAAAGGAGTTCTCTTACAGGTTGACTTGTTGTGTCTAGTTTGTCTGCACTTGGTACACCTCAGTACCATTCCAATTTTTCTCATTTTTCTATTTGTCCCGTCAATTTTACCCCACTCACGATTCCTCCTCTTCTTGGG